CAACCAGAACTGAAGTTCCCACTGCTGAATTTTCCAGTACTTGACCACTGTAAGCAACATTTGAGAACACTGGAGTGTTGTCATTTATGTCGAGGACTGTTATCTGGACTGACGTCCTGTTACTCATTGAAGGGTTGCCTTGATCAGTAGCTGAGACTAAGAGATTGTGCGTGCTGCTAGCCTCACGATCTAGTACACCACTGGCCGTAATACTTACGACTCCTGTCCCAGAGTCGATTTCAAAAATAGAGTTTAGATTTCCAGACACGATGGCAAAACCAACTTCACTGTTGCTACCAATATCTGAATCAACGGCTGTAATCGCACCTATCTCAGTTCCAGACGCCGCATTCTCGTAAATCTCAAAATTGTAGGGAGTACCCTCAAATTGTGGGGCGTTGTCGTTCAAATCAAGGAGAGAGACCAGCACTATTGTGGTAGGGGAGTTTCCTGGGACGTCCAGTGGTGCAACGTTGTCGGCTCTGACTACCAACACTGCACCAGTTGTAGACTCTTCCCTGTCTTTCTCCACGATCAGCGTGATGGCACCACTTACGTCGTCAATTTCAAAGAACCCTGCTTCGTTCCCCGATGTAATAGAGTAGCGTACTTGGCCCTGGTCTCCATAGGGTCCTGTGCTTATGTCGGCATCACTTGCTGTGACTGTAGTCACCACAACCGGAGCCGTGTTCTCCCTAACTGATGCTTGGGTAATGAAACGCTGGAAAGTCGGTATATTATCGTTGATCAGAGTCACATTGACAGTGGTTTCTTGTTCAGAACTGGAGGCCTGCCCATCACTAATGCTCAGTCTGAATTCTCTAATACCTGCTGTCGGCTCTGACTTCTGTGTTTGATAGGAAAGTGAGCGAATGAGTTCTCTAAAGTTCCCATATGTTGAAGAAATGGACGTGAAAGAAAAGGTGTAAATTTGTTCCCGAGAAGAAGGAAAGTCTTGCTCGACACTCAGCGAGCTGTCGTCACTTGGATCCAAGTACCGCAGAACCTCTGAATTGGGAATCGGACACACCACTTATTAGGATTCTAGCCGAGTGCAGAGTCTCGTTATCATTATCACTGATTGTAATGTCTCCTGGTCCAGCGACACTAACAGCCTCGGAAGATTCCTCCTCGTACATGGCTGAATACATCTGGCCACCATTGATTATCAACTCTGGAACGTCATTGATCGAGTTCACAGTTATTGTTGAGACCACGAGAGAGCTGTTTTCCCGTCCATCATCACTTACCGTGACGCTGACTTCACGATCTCCAAAAGTGGGTTCCTCGGCAGAATTGTAGTACGAGATGGATTTCAGCGCTGTGGCATATAGTGAAGGTGCTGCATCACCTGCTATAGAGATCACTGCGTTATCGGCAGAGACGGAGGAGGAGAGAGAAGAGGGTAATGATTGAGTGTCAATCTCCAATCCTTCCTCGCTGGTGTCGGGTGTTGGTGTGAGCACAATCACAGCCGATACTAACAGACTACTATCTACATCAGAAACAGTGAGGGAAGGGTTAAACACGGCAATGGGGGGCCCTCCTTCCGAGAAATCTATGGTGAAATTGACCCCCAACTCGGGCCCGTTGAGATCAACTATAGGTGGGTCGTTTACGAGCTCAAAGGTTACCAAGGTCGTTGCCATGGTTTCAGCTAGTCCGTCGGAAATGGCAAAAAGTACTTGTCTTGGTTGTGGTGATGGACTACTGAGGTCATTATTGTAGCTAATGATTTGGAGCAGGTCGCCATATAAGTCAATTGGTGCACTTCCACTTACCAAGATAATGTGATCAGCCACTGTAATAGAAATTCCACTAGGGGCATCCCCATCTATTACAAGCCTTTCACTGCTACCATCAGGAGCATTCAGAAGACTTATGGAAGCGTTCACAAGTTCTACACTGTCGCTGTCAGTTAGAGAGAAATCGGGTGAAGTCAGCCTCACGGGCCCCGCGTCTTCAACAAACTCAACTTGGTTACTTGGTGTAGCTCCAAGGTTCAGCTGAGGTGGATCGTTAACGAGGGTTATACTCACTGTAGATATTGCAGGGGCGCTGGTGAAATCCTCATCATTAGCCGTGATCAGTACAAGCCTGTAGAGAGGTGGAGTAGGCTCATCTGCAAGGTTGTAGTATTGTAGCGACAGTAGGAGTGCCTCAAATGTTGAAAATGGGACCACCGTTTCAGACGATGCGTTGATCATGTGTGCATTTGAATCTTGAGATACAAGCAGTCCATTTTGAAGCTGGGTTGAAAACTGTAGACCTTCAAGTGCACCATCACTTGCATTCAATATCTGCACCGATAACAAATATATACCACCTTGTTCTGAATCAGCATCCTCAATGGAAACAGAAGCACCAACAAGTCTCACTGCTGGACCTTCCTCTGTGAACACTGCACTATATCCAGAGCCCGTGCTAGTGGTGTCAAGATCAATCACCGGTGCATTATCGTTGATCAAGTGAATCACAACTGATACTTCACTTGACACTGAGAATGCACCGTCAATGATTGTAATTGAAACAGTGCGAGTTGCACTTGTCGGCTCATCGTCCGAGTTTCTAAAGACAATCCTGCGAAAGTGCAATGTTGCTTCATCAGCACTGAAGGGTCCTGTAAGCTCAATACTGTGATCTGTGATGACGGAGTTCTGCGGTGGGTTTGCGAGGAAAAGTGCATCGTTCGGCTGACCTATCAGTGCTATAGAGACTGATTCCAGTGGTATAGCGTCTGCATCAGAAACTACTACATTTCCAGCAATTGCTACTTCATCGTCTCCTTCTACAAAAGCAACAATTGCCTCAAGCCCCAGTATAATTGGTCTGTTGTCGTTTACATCTATAATGTCGATTTGAACCGTTGCTGACCCGGAGAGACTATCAGTGCCAGAGTCAGTCGCAACAATGACAAGATTGTATTGATTCTCTGATTCAAAGTCAATAACTCCATTCAGTATAATGATACCAGTCAGGGGGATCCACGGTAAAAATCTCACCAGGGTCCCCTGACTCAATGGTGTAGGTTAGCTCTGAATTTGGTCCCGGGCTGTCAGCATCAGAGGCAAATATTGGAGGTGATGTCATGATAGTCGTCCCTGCTGGAGAATCTTCCGGAAGAGTAGAAGTGTAGTGTGGGAGGGAGAATTCTGGGGGAGAATCGTTCTCATCAGTAACTATTAGAGTTAGGTTGGCTGTTGAGGATAAAGGTGGGGTTCCACTGTCAGAAACCTCCACTACGAGATGGTGGGTTGAAATCTGTTCACGATTGAGTTCCCGAGTGTTGTAACTTCCCCGCTGGGACTGATATTAACGATATCCTCTTCGTTACCACTAATGAAACTGAAAGTCAGTTCCCCACTGGAACCAGCGTCCGTATCGGTTGCTTGGACAAGTGCGACAAACGTTCCTTGAGGTTGATTCTCTGCCACTTGTCCCTCGTACACAGATTGGGAGAACTCGGGGGGAAATTCGTTCACCTCTGTCACAATGAGACTGACAGTTGCAGTAGAGACCAAATGGACGCTAGAGGCCGAGTTATTAGCAGCTACAGTCAGAAGGTAAGACGTTCTCTTTTCAAAGTCAAGGGAGGAAATTAGTGTCAGGAGAGCTGTATCTGGGTTCAGAGAGAATACTCCATCTTGGTTCCCTCCTATCAGTTGAAATTCTATTTCTGCGTTGAGTCCAGTGTCGATATCAGTAGCATTCACTTGTACTACTGAGCTACCTATTGCAAGCCCTTCGGATACAGCCACAGAGTAAGAGTCTTCGGAAAACTGCGGAGCGTTGTCGTTTATATCAATTACCGTGATCGAGAGCGTTGCTACTGCACTTCTTGGTGGAGCACCACCGTCTGTTGCTATGATATCTACACGGTGGAAATCAGAGAGCTCGTAGTCCAGCGATGCAGCCAGAGTGACTGCACCTGACAGAGGATCAATTGAAAAGATGTGCTGCTCGCTTCCTATCGAGTACACTACCTGTCCATTCACACCCTCGTCGTGGTCAAGAGCTGTGAAAACGGCGATAGTGTTCCTGGTCGGTTGACTCTCAAGGAGAGACCCACTGATTTCACTGACTATGAATTCCGGGGAATTGTCGTTTGAATCTGTTACTGTGACCCTGACAAGAGCCAAGGAACTTAGAGGTGGTTCCCCTCTGTCAGTGGCACTGACTACTAACTCGTATAGGGCCCCCTTGTTCTCTGTTCAGGCTCTCTAGCACCACGAGCTCACCTGTTTCCGAGTCGAGTGAAAATCTGTCTGTCTCTCCAGTTTCAATGGAATATTGTATGGCAGCGTTGGATCCACTGTCTGCATCAGTAGCTGAAATGCTTAGCAGTGGGGTATTAGGTGCATTATTCTCTACTACGGACACTTCGTAAGTGTCCTCTGAAAACACTGGTGGGTTGTCGTTTACGTCTTCCACTAGCACCAGTATGGTCGCTGTTCCAGACTGGAATGGATTGGGGATGCCATCAGTGGCCGTGACTGATAAATTGTACTGCGACTGAACTTCGAAATCCAAAGTATCGGCCGTCACTAAAAGCCCAGAGGTAAGACCAAGAAAGAAATTCCCGGCATCGTTTCCACTAATAATTTCGATAAGTTATTGACAAGGTGTCTTCATCAGTGGCTGATAGCTGTGCAACAGAAGTTCCTATAGTGGTATTTTCACTTAGCTTCAACAACGATGTAGCGTGTTTCGGTGAAAATTGGTCTCTCATCATTTTCGTCTGTGATTCTCACAGTTACGGTTGCTGAAGCACTGAGTAATGGTAGGCCACTGTCGCTGGCTATTACAGTCAATTGGTACACCTCCTGGATTTCAAAGTCAAATGCCGATGCCGTTAGTAGCTCACCAGATGAAGGTTCAAGTGTAAAGAGACTCGCTGGTTCGTTGTTTTCGTTAAGTAAACTGTACACGATTTCAGCATTGGTCCCAGCGTCTGAATCAGCTGCCGACAGAGTTAGTATGCTTGTTCCCAGTTGCTTGATTCTCAGCTACTGAGACAGTGTAACTGTCTTGCTCAAAAATGGGCTGATTGTCGTTGACATCGCCGACTAGAATATTCACAGTTGCTTGGGTGCTCTCCGTTGATATTGGGTTGGTCCCTGAATCAAATGCAATTACAGTCAGTGTGTGGATTTGTCGAGTCTCCCTGTCAAGCTGCCCTGCAACAGTTATAGCGCCACTAGTTGTATCGATTCGAAAAAGTTGGTCAGAGTTTCCGGCCACTATTGCAAAGTGTATCGGTCTCTCAATCAACCTTCTGTCAGACGCTTGCAACTTCCACTAGCGTGAAATTGATAGGGGCGTCCTCTCTCGGGAAAGCAGTGTAAGTTTCTGCGGAAAACCTGAGGCAAGAGTTATTGCAGGGCGTACAAGAAGAAGACACGTCCGGATAGCTGCTGACGGGACAGTCTGAGACACACGTTGTGCCATCAAGATCGAGATAGTTGATACATGCCTGCACAGAGGAAAGAGCAGAGTTTGAACATAGTAAATAGCAAAGAATGAGCAGAGGACGTTTATCAAACAAAAACACATTGACGAGCATTTCTAGTTCATCCCAAGAGTAAAAGATCTGTCACAAGAAAGAGACGTGTTGTACAGACTTACCACACAGCTCTGTGGCCCAGCTCCTGTGCATTCGTTGCATTCAGGGTCACACTCCAGGCATCCAACGTCTCCTTCTCCCTCTCCCAGTCCGTAGTGCTGTGGGCTACACCTGGAACAGTCTCTCCTCTCGACGTTTGTCTTACACGGACACTGCCCCGATCTCCTTATCACAGACCTCACTCCCTCCCACTGTCCCCAATACATTACAATCACAGCTCTGACAACCCTCGGGATTTGCAATCGACAGATTGAAATATCCGTCGGCACATTCCGAGCACGTTCGTCCTGCTGGCAAAATCCCTGCATGCGCATTGCCCTGAATCGCCCCCATCTATTCGGTCACCACGAGCGCAGTCGAAAGCCCCTTCAACAGCTCCTACTGCATTACAGCCACATTCAATGCAGCTATCCTCTGTGTCAAAAGGCACACCGGGAGGATTGTAAAAGAACTCTGCACAGGCTCCCACAATCATCACCGATTGTATTGCCAGTACAGTTGAGGCATACCCCCCTACCCAGGGAGGTGGAATACTCGCAGGCGTCTGCGTGACCATTACACTCACACACTTCGCACTCACTCGCCGAGCTTACCGTCCCTTCAGCCCAGGGTTTGTTATTGTGGAGTGGTAGGCAGGATTCACAATGAGCACCAGTTGTATTATGCTGGCATATGCATGTCGCTCCATCGGTACACGAATCAGCATGTCCGTTGCATACGCATCCTTGTCCTTTAACGATTATTTCGTTGATTGCAAAGTATTGCTCCTCGGGATAAGTGGAAAGAAACTGGACTAGCTCTAGACGAATGTGCATAGTTTCCGCAAAACTCTGAAGGGCTGGGCTGACTAGGTAGTCACTAGCACCGGGTCGATTTCCAACATCGAGAACTCGAAACTCGATAAAGCGATCTCGGATCGGTATGGAGTGTGTCGTGACGCAGTTCACGTCTGTTGGTGTCCTCAACAGACCATTGTTTGGTGAGATTGAAAGTACTGCAGTCAGAGGCGAAATACTGACGTGGATAGAAGTTCTCTCCATCTGTGGAGTAATGGATGACCAGTGCTCCAGGGGGGAAGGAACGAAAGTGAATAGCGTTATAAGAGCAGCTCTTAGACCGCCTAGGCTAACAGTGATATTAACAGGGAGTTCCCCCGACTTTGATCGCCAGAATGTCTCAGAGTCTCCGTCGTTAATGTGGGTTACGTCGCGTGAGTTTTCGTTGATCCTTGCAAGCTGGGTGCCACCCGAAAGATCTTCGCAGAAAAAGTCGGTAGCGTGAGGGTGGGCAGGAGGACAGCGACATTGAGGCTGTACATGTACGTCTGGTGCTACCATGGCAAGCATTGCAACGTCCACATCGGACAGAGTCATGTCATAGTAAAACACTGAAGAGAGCTGACCTGATGGATAGAAACATAGTGGGAGCTACACCGCTGCATAAACTGGTCATATGGAACACATACCTTGCAGTCTAGTCACCTCTCCAAGTTTCCTCCCAATGAAAAAGACACCAGGACCATCCTCTAGAGCAGCAATGAGGCTCTGTCTGAACCGGGGCTGCCCGTCAACAAATAGCGTCAAATCGCTGCCGAAAACCGAGACGGCAATGTGATGGAGCCCTCCGTCAGAAACATCGATGTCTGTCATTGCGACCGTACGGAAACCCTGGTCCAGTCCTTCCGGTCTGTATTCGAAATAGACGGTTTGAGCGCCAGAGTCGAAACGAAGGGCAAAGAAAGTCGTCAGACCGGTCGGTGTGGTCTTGGCAAAAAGATACCTATTGAAAAGGGGAAGTACGATTCAGATTTGCATAGAATTGTGGATTACCCATCATTTCCTGGCTGCTGGCTGATCCAGCTTGTGATGGTAAATCCTTGAGACGGCTCCACAGTCAGCTCACCGTTAAAATTCACAAAGGAATCTGGCCCTCCATCTAGCTGGTAGAGATCTGCACCCTCTGGTCCCATATCGCCAATAATTGTCTAAAAAAACAGAAGAGCAACAGCTAATATTTTTCTAGTGGTCCACTGGGAACTTACAACCCCTGCTTGAAGAGTCCCAGCGGTCATTAGGTCCAGTGGTTCGGGTAAGGTGTCCCCAAACGGACAGGTATTGTTGCAAGACGATCCGCATCCTACTTCCTCTCCTTCCTCTCCGCACACACCGCAAGTAGAGGTTGCTGTGACGGGGTTGGAGGTTGCAAAGTTTTCCGCGGAGTACAGCGGTGGAAACAGTCCCTGCGCCCGGACCCCGGCCGCATACAGGCACGCAGCGAGAACCAGCAGCGGAAAATGCTTCTGACCCAGTATTAGACGCATCTAGAAAAGAAAACAACAGCGATGAATTGCCTCCTTTACGGTGCAGATACGATCTACCGTGTTTTTCAGCTGCCTCGTATCATTTCGCCGTGGTATGGACGGTGTAGGAAGTCTGCAGAGAGAACGGCGAGGAGATGCCTGTGTGCAGTTCTTTTTCCAGGAGGCGGCTTGGCTTGTTGACAGCAACGCCCATTTTATTGGGCCGGAACCTGTTCCCGCGGCAATAGGGCGTGTCCCGATTCCGATCTAAACAAATTGCTGACATTGCATTTTCTGTCACGCCACACGCCCTCAAAAGAAAGAAGCAGCATGGCACTTTCTTTCCCCTCCACCTCCGATTTCGACTGAGTAGCGGCGCTCCTTCTGTCCCGTGAGATCTACTGGACGCGGCAGAACTGGCGGGCGTCGCCGCCATGACGCGATCTAGAGGGAGTGACGCAGGCAGCGGCCCGGGATCCGGGTCATCACCCCCCAATCCCGACCTGGCCCTCCTGGTCAACTCTAAGAAGTACGAGTGTGTCTACGACGGCTGCAGAAGATCCTACACGTCGATGGGCAACCTGAAGACACACCTCAAAGCACACCAGGGCAAGTACGACTACAGGTGTGATCACGGGACTTGCGAGAAGGCGTTTCTCTCTTCGTACAGTCTCAAGGTCCACAGGCGTATACACACCGGCGAAAAGCCTTATTCCTGTGAAACTGACGGCTGCGATAAGTCTTTCACCACTATGTATCGGCTGACCGCCCATAAGAGGGTACACACGGGCGAAACGTTTGGCTGCGAGTTCGACCCATGCTCCAAACAGTTCACCACGAAAAGCGACCTCAAAAAGCACACGCGGACTCACTCGGGCGAAAAACCGTATCACTGTAAGATAGACGGTTGCGGGAAAGCCTTCAAAGCATCGCACCACTTGAAAAGTCATTCTTCCAAACATCAAAAGGATTCGTCTGAGGCTACATCTACTATGGACGAGGGAGGAGAAGGGGGGACGCTAGACGAAGGTGAAGTGCAGGGCACACCTCAATCAACCAACGGCAGTATGGAGAGCCTCGATGCGTCGGATTCTCTGGCGGTTGTTTCCGAGGACGGCTCGGCCAACCAGGTTCTTGAGGCTCTCTCTCCTGAGTCGAGTCAGTGGCTCTCGAGTTTCCTGCTCGGACAATCCCCAATGGTCACTAATCCCTTTTCTCCCGCAGTTACATCGTCTTCAAGTGGGATTACATCATCTTCAGGCGAGGTTACATCATCTGCAAGTGAAATGACGTCGTCCAGTTGCGTGTCTGTTTCTACGGCGCAGCCTATAGCAACACACCACCCTCAAAATCAGCTGCAACCGCCTCAAATAGCTTCCAACTCCGTTACAGCAACAGCTTCCCTCCCCACACCTGTTTCTACATGCTCGCAGACGCAGCCTCAGCCGCTGCCTCAAGCTCCACTAATGCTAACTTCCGATATAACCAACGCTCTACAGGCACTTCAAGTCCTTTCAAACACAGGTGCTCTCCAGAGCTTGTTGACCCTCTCACAGCTGCAGAATAGTGGGTGGCAGCACTCTGCTAATGTCCCATCAAACTATTCGGTACTGGCTCCTTTACCCACCTCAGTGGCCGATTCCAATACACTACAATTGGGCACTGCTTCAGGGCTTAGTGGTTCAAACGCGTTTAGCTCCCTGCCCCTCCTACCCGAGACGACTTCAGGGTTGGGAGGACCCTCCTTCCCTTCGCAACCACCCAGCGCCACTGCCGGCAGATCACATGACACGACTCCCGGATCATGTGACTTCCTCGGTGATGCCTCCTCCGGTAGGTTACAGAGCTACCAACCTCCGCAACTAGTGCAAGCGTTTGCGCAACCCCTGGCAATGTACAACAGTACTACCGAATCTTCCACTTCCATTGGCACCAGTTCCTCCCAGAACCTCCCCAACTCCTCAAACTATGAAACTTACTGGGACAGTGGCACGCAGACTCTACCTATTGATCTCGATAACCTGGATGCTCTCTTGTCCTCCGTTGAGTCGCCGAACCCACTTGCACCCAACCCTCTAGCTGTTTCCCAAAACCAAGTACTAGGAACGCAACCTCAGGAACCTACCGGAACATCTGTGTTTTCAGCTACCGGGACTACTACGATGACATTGCCCAAGGCTGCCGTAGTAAAGGTCGACCAGATGTCGCAAACTGACTCGTCCTGCTCTCCGGTCTGCTGCTCCTCGCCAGTGACTGTGAAGCCGGAAAAGTGCGGCTGCTGCGGGTGTTGCTCATGTGACTGTTACTCCTGCTCAACGAAGGAAAAATGAAGTATGCCGTTGCCGTACACGATGCCATTATGCTGATTGTTGTTAACTTGTGTGTGTCCGTATGATATGTATCCATATGAGCATTATTTAATAATCAGGGAGTTTTCCTTTTATCATGGGTTGACTAGTGGTAATCGCGAAGGGGAATTTATTAATAGTCATTACACTACGTCACTTCCGGCCGGTCGTAATCGGTTGCGCGCGCACCGCGTACCGCACAAAAACGGAATGGTGCGGCGTAGTGTTAGGGAAAGGTGCAGTTGTGTAGTCGATGCGTAGAGCCGTGCATCCAAGTTGAAGTTGAAGCCATGAGTCTGCCGGAGAAACTACTGAAGTCCGCAAAGTCGGGAAATTCGCGTGAAGTCCGCAAGCTCATCGGGCGCGGAGTACCAATCACCAAAGACAAGGTATATAGCTAGCTACTTGGCTACTGGATTCATGGTAGAAGCGTGTTGCGGCATCCTCACGGGTTTTTGCATAATAACTCATGCCGGTGCATCTCATAAACATTCAAGGGTTTAGAATTATGTATAATCACTCATAACTGCAAGAAAATTGGCGTGTCAGTTGTGATTCTTAGTACAAAGTAAGCCAATTACATTGCCTGCGATATATTCACGTGTTCGAATATCTTCTCTACTGTCTTAACTCGATGCAACATATTCAGGGTCACAATAATTGAATTTCTTGTAAGTAAAAAAATGATATCTTCTTCCCAATATAATATTGTGCTCAGTTTGGGAACACTGCACTGCACGAAGCGGCGTGGAACGGTCACAGTGATATTGTCAAGATTCTCCTGAACGCCTTCTGCTTCGTGGACAGCATTAACAACAGCTGCTTTACACCACTGCAGTTGGCCAGTCAGAGTGGCCACGGGAAGACCGTCAAGACACTGCTGAAATGGCGCGCAGACCCCTCCATTCTGAATCAGGTGTGTGTTTGCATGAATCATGGTGGAGTATGAAAACAAGGCTAGTGAAAGCAATGACACCCAGGAAAACCAAAGAAAAAGGGCTGCTCTGGGTGACTATCAAACCAACCCCATGACACCCTGCTCTATAGGCAAACACTAGCTTTCCCACTTATAGGCAACATGAGAATCTGACTTCATGTGTGAAGAACCCAGATTTCAGAACTCTTTAAGGACATGCTACTCTAAGCTGCCTTCCTTTCACCATTAGTGTGTTCCCCAGCAGATAGACAGGGAGTTGATTGCTTCCTAATCGTCTCCTTACTCACCGGGCATAGCTAAATATAAACATGCCACGGATGTTTTTATGCAGCATGGAGAGACTGCCATTCACCTTGCGGCCAAATACAACCACCCGACTGTCATTTCTGTCTTCGTCTCTTTCAAAGTCAATGTGGACATAAGAGGAAAGGTTAAAGATTTGTCATGTCAGCTGCAAGTGTATGTGGCTCACTCAACCCCTTGCTCTGGTACAATTAACACCTAGTACTCCATACCCTTTTGCTTTGCATAGTTCACAAATTTCCGTCATTTCGTGTGGGGCCTTTCGATTTTGTACTAATAAGGAGTTGGGCCAGTGCATGCTTTCTATCATGTGTGGAGTGGGGAAAAATACGAAAGTGTGAATAGCTGCATTGATAAACTTGGCTTTCTGGGATTCTTTGGGCCTGGCAGAAAAACACATCAACTCTTATATAGAGGAAAGTTCAGTACTCCCTTCCTCCATCTGTTTGTTGCTAGGCCGGTGTCTATGTACTTGATAACAATCAGCATGTTTTGGCCAAATCTTCGCTAGGTTGTTATGGAGTTTTGAACATAATACCACACTCCACTTTGTGGCCTGGGGCACCAATAATCCACATACTTGGGCGCTGTTGTGTTATTTTAGCTAAATACCCGAAGAATGTGCCTTTATTGTGTGGCAGTTAATTCGGGACATTATCCTTTTGTTGTTAAGTGATTCAATAATTAGTGTGCATTTTGTGGTGATCGATTGTCTGCAGGACAGTAACACTGCCTTACACATTGCGGCAAAACTGGGAAACGCAGAATCAGTGAGAGCTTTACTCAGAGGTGGAGCCAATCCTCACCTTGCAAATGCGGTGAGTGAAACATCTTTAGCCATGTGTGCTACACTGTGTGCTTGCATTCTGTGAGTGCTAACTATCTTTTCCTGCATCTGTAAAGAAATCCATGGAATGCTCAAACCTTTAGGCCCATCCTAACAACCCCCTGTCTGGGTATTTTCAAACAACCCACTTTCCTGTAATGTAGGGGGAGGAGACGTGATAGAGTCGGATTTATCCGCAAATATTCTTTCAAGCCTTGCAGACTGTGGGGAAGACAGTAAACTCTGTGTGTGTGGAGTTGACTCCCACCACTTTGGGTGTTTGTGTGCTGAGTATGAGTAGATCAGCACGTGTGTGTGTGTGCGTGTGTGTGGACTGGAAAACATGTGTAGCTGCGTGCTATCCTGAGTCCTGGAGTAGTAATGTATTCGTGAGAATACGATAATGGGTGGTCCTAGATTAGTGAGTAAGAAAGTGCAGTCCAACCACATGCCGTCCCCTGCATAAGTATTGCATTACCATGCACTTAAAAAGCAATTTCAGGTAGGCCTCGACTTCTTTGAAATCCAGAGCGTTTGCCAAAACCCAGGTTAGCTAGCTACCAGCCTTCCAGAAAGGTGTGTACTTGTCGGTGAGGTTAAAGCTGCAGTTGACGTAGGATTTCCTGTCACCACGGAGGTCGTGGTGTGGAATTGTGGGAATCTGAACATCTCTTTGAAGTGCCTCAGTACCCTACTAATAGAGTCAAAGGCCTCTAACAAATATGTGAAGATTGGGATTTGTCAGGGAATGAGATACATACCCTTGACACTTAAACAACTGTTAATCTTCAGTCACGTTGGGTAAATTGTGTGTTAATGAACTAACGATATCCCAGTTCCTCTGTCTTTTGTATTCCGTATCCATATGTATTCATACACATAATTCTCACCTGCAATCACTGTATTGTAACGGAATATATAAAATTGTCAACATTGAAGGGAGGAAAACAGTTATCAGCACTTCCCAAATGACTGTTTGCTATATTTTTTGCAGAGAGGTGCTAGGCCCTTGGAGTATGCTGAAATTGGAGGATTCAAGCCAGTCATAAAGCTTTTGAGCTCCGTAAGTTTTGACCTAAGGTGTAGCTAGTATATCATAGCTCTGCCTCAGCCACAATGTTTTCTTGCATAACTGGTGGCGTGGCAAGCGTCCAGCCAAAGTAATAATACGCACACAGACAAATTGCAGAGGTTAGCAGTTGGGTAAATCGAGCTGTATACAGTCTAGCATTTGAGGCTATGGGCCGAGTCTGACTGCCAGAGAGAGATCAAAGACTGAGGCTGGAGGTGGTGTGTGTTTGATAGCAGGGGAAATGTTGGCCAACAGCGAATCTCCCAACCACTCTGTATTTCTGCCTTGGGTTTGGATCGGACATCCCTGCAAATGACTCTTACTTGCAGTAGTGTCATTACTTGAGCTTTGCTATATATTATTGTAGTGTCTATGGTGAGGTATAAAGCCCACACAACGCTATAATAGCCCACACAACGCTGTACTACTCTCTTCTATTGACTGATGTGGAGTATAGCGTACAATCCATCCCCCTTTTGTGGCAACTCCAAAATAGTTTGGGACTCAACTTCTGTAGTGATTGGATTCACCCTTTGGCCCACCTACACATTGGGTCTATGAGAATCTCCCACACAATGACTCATAAACATGTGTCATGGTGGGGGTTGTCTATGCGTGACATCATAGTGACATCATAACTCCGCCACAAGTCACTACATGCCATATCTTTGCCCTCCAGTGCCACTGAGTCTGTAGACCAGCGGCAGGCAAATGGACCTCCCACCTCGTGAATATCATTAACTCTAACCACAACACACACAGTTGAAGGCACCAGCTCTGCTAGTGTGTTTACATCAGCGTTGACCTCTTATCTCCCGTCCCCCCCTACCTCTTGCCTCCCTCCAGGCCTTCTCATACTCCTACCAGCTATGAATGAATCGTTTACGCACCAGCAGACTGCTTAGCTTTGATCTTCTCTTCTTCTCCCCCACAACCACTGCCACGCCCATTAAAATGTCATCAACACTCGTCGTCTGTCGCCAGAACTTGTTTTTAAAGCGTTCCTTTGTGTCTAGGTTCTCACTCTGGGCGTCTGGGATTCTTTTCGTCTGCTACTGCAGCGTACACATGCGTAGGCACACCTGTAAAATGGTGCCGCGACAGGCTGATATTTCATTCGCA